GGGGGGGGGCCTGCCGGCTGTGCGGCTGCCGCTGGGTGAGCTCCGCTCCCGGGAATTAAGTGTGACGAGGCCTCTGTAAAGCAGCTGGTGGAGGGAGGGGGGGCAGGAAGGGAGCGGAAATGGAGCTGCAGTTTACCTGATGCCGGGACTCCCGTTAGCAGATCCCGTGGGAAAAGCTCGCTGTCCCTGTGGCGTGTGGGAGGAGGGAGAGCGAGGTTTTCCCCCTTTCTGCCCGGGTTCAGCACTGGCTACCCACCGCCTAACCAGGGGCTGAGGCAAATCCTTAAGGCTTTACAGTTGGTGTGAGAGCCGTGCCTCGCCGCTCATGCTGTGAGTTTGAAGCAGTGTCAGTGTTACCTCAACAGATGTTGCTAACTGAAAGGCTCACGGCAGGTTAAAGCTGTGTGAAAAGTAGCGCAGCCTCGTAGGAGACACCGAAGGGAAGGTTGGGTGACAGTAAGTATGGTCTCTGAGGGTGGAGTTAGGGCTGAGACTTAAAAAACGGTAGATTTAGAGGTGTTAGAAGAGTGGCACTTGGTGGGCTTATTAATTAGCTTAAAGCAGGTAAAATGCTTTTGAAATGGGTAGTGAGTTTCTGGAATTTGTTGCTACAGGAGGCTGTGGAAGCAGACAGTATATAAAAGATTCTAAAAAAGGATTAGCCAGATTAAAATACAGCATGTTCGACAACAACATCCAGAAATAACCAGTCAAGGATTTGCCTTCCCAGATCCCTAATGGAACAGCTTTTTCTGCCAGAGGAGTAGGAAAGAAGCAGACCATGGATGTTGGCCGGGGTCATGTAGTTTCTTTAAACAGCATTTCTTACTGCTATTGTCCAGACAGTATTTGGCCTGGTGTCTCGGGGAGCTGAGGACTGGAACCAGGAGAGCATTTCTTACACTGTTCTCTTCCTAGCTTTGTTTATTTTCTTTAGAGGCATGTGTGTAAAATAGCACTGTTTTTTTAAGAATAGTGTGGGCTTGAGGAACGGAGGCTGGGATGCACAGTTTCTGTCAACCCACAGTTCCCTGATCAAGCAAGGAGGGAAGGGGCTCTTCTTGGTCTAGTCCTAGACCAAGAAGACCTGCTATACAGCAGGGTCATCTCATCACAGAGGTACTAATGTTTTGGGTCTTTTTAATTAGCTCGTGAGTATAAATGCTGCAGATGAGCAACGTGGCAAACTCGGGTTTGTAGATTTCTGGGCTCAGGCTCCCTGCAGAGCCCTGTAAGGCTGCTTTGGTGCCCTAGTTCTAAGATATTTCTGGCTGTAAGGACTGCTTACTTTTTCTCTAGTTAAGCGTGGGCTGAGAGATAGGAAGTGTTTTGAAAGCCACACAGTGACATGTGTCTTACTTCAAGTAAGGTAGTTTGCTATCTCAGACTTGGTCTGTATTCTATGTTGTGAAAGACCATCCAAACATTTTTTTAGTTATGGTTAATGTTAAACAGTAGGTTTATTTTAAGTAGCAGTGTGCAAACTGAACATGAGTAGGAACACTATGAACTCTAAGGAAAATACAGAATAAAAGAGGGAATTCTGGTATGATTCAAGCATAACTGATCCTTGCTTCTTTTTTTTGTTTGTTTTGTTTGTTTCAGTCCTGGGGCAGAAATGCATATTAGACTTAATGCTCACTTACTTTTACAGGAGCACAGTGTGTGATATTTCAATCCCTTTTCAACTTATTTGTGTCCTGGTAGATCAGTATTTGCTGAAATAGGTGTTGAGTTGTGGGAACTGTACATATAGTGGAAGTGAGTAGCAAAACACAACTTGGGTGTCACTGGTTTTAACAATTTTGAGGCCTTTTTGGAAGACTATTTACAACTGGAGGCAAGAATATCTGCTGATCCCTCCTTTGCAGTTCTGGGACCACAGTTGCATCTGGTAGCTATTCCAATGGGGATTTCCCTGCTGATTTCGTAGTATCAGTAGAACCTCCTGCATTCAGTAAGAATGATGTAGGATGATACCTGCTTTTGAAATGGAGCCAACTGCTTAAGAAGAAGAACAGAAAATGTGTGTGCAGTGTTCACAGAAGCAGCAGGGTTTACAAATACTGTGATTGGTTGCAAATACTATAGTGTTTTTTTCCTGTACTCATTGTATCACTGTTGTGATCGATTGCCATCTATTATAAGGAAGTCTTAATAAGGAAATGACATAAAAAAAAAATAAAACAGAAGGGAGGAATCCTTGAGGAAGGCAGGCAGGGAGCTTTTAAGTGGACTGCCGGAATCCAGTGTTTTCAGTTGTTTGTTTTATTCCACATCAGGAAATTTCTGTCTCTGTGATAGTGATTCTGCATGATGCAATGTCCTGAGTATTATGTAGAGAGTAACAGTCCTTTTATTGCAGTCTGGGAAAAAGGGGATGTGTGTAATGTTTTAAAACAGCTGATACTGGTTCCTGGTTGCAGGCTTTGTTGACCCAAGGCATCCCTTCATAACCAGACTATTGCCTGCTGGAGACTTCTGCAGAACAGAAGGGAACGGTCAGGAAGCAAAGATGATCTCCTTCAAGCAACTGCCTCTAGAAGCAAAGGCTGCAGTGGCTGCAGGAGTGGTTTTCTTCTCCATGATGCTTTCACGGAGTTATCTGGCAGAGCAACTCGAGCTCAGGACGCGGCGTTGGTTTCTAAGGCTGCAGATGGCACTCTTTGCTAATGCACTCATGTTGATAGGATCGCTTCATGTTTGGAGAAGCACAGTCACCACGTTCTCCAGGTCTTCAGCTGCCAGCTCTGTCTGTTTCATACCATGGAAAATAGCCGTGTTCATGTTTCTAGCTTTGGCTCATTCAAGCTTCTTTACATTGCTATTTCTTGTTGCAGAAGAACCCTATTTCTTTTCTTTAGCTGCCTACACTTGCCTGGGGGCCTATATCATTCTTATCTTCTTCCTTTTCACTCTAGGCTCTGTAGAGCAGGCTTACAAGTTCTTGGCTGGGAGAGGCGCTAAGGCAGGTACTGGAAACAAGAACAGAACAGCAATTAAACCAGTTTTGGCAGTCATGCTTACTGCTGTGCTGACTGTGGTTGGGCTGTTAAACGCTTCCCAGCCTCCCACTGTGAATTCAGTGGAGGTTCCAGTTCTTAAGCTGCCCTCAACAATGAATAATCTGAAAGTGGTGTTGCTTTCAGATATCCATCTGGGGCCCACAGTTGGGAAGACCAAGCTTGCCATGATTGTGAGAATGGTTAATGCTTTGAAACCAGATATCACTGTGATTGTTGGGGACCTGACTGACTCGGAGGCAGAGATCATACGACCTGCTGTTGAGCCCCTTGGAGAACTTAAATCCCCTTTGGGGACTTACTTTGTTACAGGAAACCATGAGTACTACACATCAGATGTTAGCAACTGGTTTGAGCTGTTAAAATCATTTAACATTCGGCCACTCCATAATGAGAATGTGAAGATTGTTTCGCCAAAGAGCACTGATGACTGGTTCTGTCTGGCTGGCGTTGATGATATTGAAGCAGATGTATTGCGCTACTCAGGGCATGGCATGGATTTGAAAAAAGCACTCACAGATTGTACAAGTGAGCATGCAATAGTGCTGTTGGCTCATCAGCCAATTGCTGCAAAGTGGGCCCTTCAAGAGAGACCAGACATAAACTTAATTCTCTCTGGCCATACTCACGGAGGGCAGATGTTTCCATTACATGCTGGGGCTTATTTTCTGAATCCCTTCTTTGTTGGCTTGTACGAAGTTGGGCAGAACACCTTTGTCTATGTCAGCCCAGGGACAATGTACTTTGGGATTCCCATGAGGCTAGGCAGCAGAGCTGAAATAACAGAGATAATTCTACGTTCTCCTTGAGGAGTTTTCCATTTGACAGACTTCTACCAGCCTTTTTAGTCAATATAGTGGCTCTTCTGCTCTGAAAGCAAATCCTTATTCAGGGAAGCCGGAGAGGATCGGTTAGGGTGGACTTCAGCAGGTTCTGTTAAGTTTGAGCAAAAAGCACTAACTGTATATTGGGCCTATGAAACAAATCTGGGGAGCACGTTAAAATATTAATTAAATTAGTTCTTTGACTTCATTATTATTGAGGTTCTGGATTTAAAGATAACACTGATGTCATGAAGATAATGTGTGTCCTGTGCATGTTTAGCAATATATGTGTCCTGTGACTACTACATGTTCTGCTGTTTATTGTCCATCAGGCAGCTCCCTTATCAAATCTCAGACAGGTGAAGTTCTGATGTCTTGTAGTGGACACTGTAGTCATTTGAGGGATTTCACTGAGTATGTAAACTAGAAGCCTCATGCTAGAGATGTTATGGGAAGAGAATGGGTTTGGGTTTTTTGTTGAGGCTGGGTATCTTTATCCTGCTATCCTGTCTGCAGCATGCACTGGAGCTTCCACTCTGAGCTGCATACCAGTACCAGGTGCCAGGCATCAATCGGTTCCTGAAAATCAATTTTTTTCCAGTTAAAAAGTGGGGCAGACTGATATCAAACAGTGAAAGTAGCTATCTTTCTGCAGGCATTTTCCCCAGAATAACTGGGCATCTAGTAATTACTTATTGAAAGTAGCTCTGATAAAAGCAAATGAGAGAGAACTTGTAATTAGCGTAGCTTCCCTTCCTGTCTGAGCATACAGTACCTGCGTATGTAAAGCACAAAATCCAAAGCTTAAATACTCGGTCTCTTCATTCTGTATTGTTTTGTTTATGCTTGATTTCTCTTCCGTGATTTTTCTCTTACAAAAGGAGATGCTATTTGAAAAGAATGCAGATAGATTCATGCTTAAATTTTGTTTCAAGTTTTAGTATTTCAAATATATGGTGTCCTTTTTAAGAGGACTAAAGACTGCAGCAGGTGACTTTGCACATTAATATCTACTACAGAATAGTGAGGGATGGAAAATTTCTTGCTGCCTTTCCTCGAAAGGGTTAGCACAAATTAATATAATTCTGGGAAATTTGAGGTATTAGAAACCATTCTTGCTTCCATATCTTTGTGTTCATCTAAGAAAGCCTCACTGTAAATTAATGTGCATATATTGTCCAGGCTGATGAAAGAGTTTACTTCTGTACACCTACTGCTCTTCTCCCCTTACACCTCAATGTTACTGTATGAAATGCCACAAACAGTACAAGTCTGGGAATCATGTTTCTGAGTCTGAAGTCTCCAGCTGTAGCCACAGGGTCTTCCTTGCTCTGCCTTTCTGCCCACGGGTACCTGGGTTCCTCTCAGGCAGACCTGTGTAGCACGGAGCAAAGGAGATCAGTGCTTACACAGGAGGCTGAGGACGGCATGACAAAACTGCCATGCTCAGTCTTTTCCTGCCTTCCTGTATGATCCTGAAGCAGACACTTCTGTTTCATTCTACAGCTTCTGTTCCCATTTTGCAGGAGGTGTATGAAAGGGTGTTTGAAGAGTTATCATAGGCCTTGAAAAATTGAGTTTTTCTGCAGGTGGAATTGTGAAGTTGTGCTTCATCCACTCCCTTTAGCCCACCCCTGCCACCCCCAGGCAGTTTCTAACTTACAAGCTTTTTTTATCCTGTTCCTCTGTACAAGCATCTTGCATTTTTACTCACAGGTATATTGAGCAATACTGTAAATGTGTCATTTGTGTTGGAAGGTTGATGGAAGAGCTGGAAAAGTCAGTCTACTTTTAGTCTGAAATCTGAACACCTGACCAGGCTCTCTACTTGCTGGACTAGATAATTTCAGTTTCCCAGCACCTATAATTTTGTAAACTTTTTTATGCTTGTGCAATAATACCTGCTTAAGTGTTCTAAAGTTTCAACATGTATTTAACACTGCCCACTGCCTGCCTGGGGTCCTTCTGAGGTTCTTTCCCATTGTTGGCCAATTGTCAAATGGTCTTATGTAGAGAGAATCTTGATAGCCTTGATACCCTCTGTTTACTTATCAACATGACTTCAGTTAAAAGCTTTGTTCTGGGTAATGCATATTATTCCCTCTAGGCCAGTTGCTGGCATTTTCATATTTTTCTCCCCATACCCTTTGTATTTTTCTCCTCATTCTGTCCAAATATGTGCAAGAACCTAGCTGAATTGGTCCTTCCATGCCAGGGGTACATAGATGACTTTCTTAATTAATTTATATATGCTCCACTTTGAAGATCTTTGTGTATTCTTTTAGGAACAGATACTGTCCTTTTAGGAGTGGTCATATTGTCATTTCATAAATGTATTGAGTTCTCTTGATGTCATTTCATTCTTGAGGTTTTTTTCTTTCAACTGCCTCCCTCTGAAATCTTGTTTGCTTGATGATTAGTTATCACTTGTAATGTTTTCTTTCTATGCAAAAACACTTCAAAGCCTTTTCTTAATTTGCTTTTTCTTTAAAGTATGAATGGAAAGTATCCTAGATCAACTTTCTTTTTGATAGTAAAAGGAATGCACCTTTTCTAAAATCTCTCTTAAGACAGCAATCCCTAATTGTCCTTCAAGGTTTGTCTATACTTCTTCCAAATTGACTTGAATGCACATGATTTGGACCTGTGTTCAGTATTCCAGATGAAAAAAAAATGTTGTGCTGCTTATTTGTAATTTTTTTGATATTTTCTGTGGGTTTTTTTTGTGTATATGGAGTATATTTGATCTGGAGAAGTTAACTAAAATAATCCATACTTTTTCCTATAAAAGGCCAGTTCACTGGATGGGAGGTGGGGAGGGAGTTAATCACTGTCAAAATAACAGAATAGAATAGTATCATCACACCGTCAAAGTTCTATTTATTGTATTATTTGTTCAGTGTAGAATGAATTTGAAAATATGTAAACTGTAATATAAGAAATGCTTTAAATGTTGGGATTTAATAAAACTTTATTTGCTTGTCAAGAAGGATGTCTCTAATGACCTTTTATTTTTTACCTGTAGTTTTTGTAGTAGTAAATGCTGAATAATTTTAACATGCTGATTCTAATTTACCAACACAAAGCTACTGCCAGATAATCAGACTAATTTTGGAAAATCTTGCACTCACATTACTAGGCATGGTGGAAGGTGGGAAAGGTAAGGCCACTATCAAATTTGCCTAATGACTACTAGTGGGAAGGAGTGCAGGCTGAAGAAATGAGGATGTGTTATGGAGAAAAAGAACGACTGCAAGGGCAAAGAAATTATACTAAGACGGTTTTTTGAATGAGTAGAAGGAAATTAGTGGTTTGTGGTTCTCAATTTTGATACTGAAGAGAAAGAGGTGTTCTGTGTTTGAATGCTCTGCGTAAGAAATTCTAGAAATTTTCCCAGGTGGAGGAGTTCATTGAGGCTTTACATCCATATTTGTTTGATTTTCAAAAAAGAAAAAAAAACTGTTTTGGAGAATGAGAGGTTCTAGCCACTGTTAAATAGTTCTGTGTGCTGAAGTTACAAAATTTTTTTCCTCTGTTGAGAGACATACCCATTAAAAAATGTTGAAAGAGCATTAAGGTTGCAAAAATAACTTTTCCTTGATTTAAGAAAGAAAGTACAGATTCTTAGCTCTTCCTTTTCCCTGGGAGTCTATTCTGAGCATGTAAGATGCAACTTTATACCATTGCCTCTAAAGGTTTGAATTTTCAGCTGGGCAGTATGTGGTATGAATGAACTGACATCCTAAGCAGCGTGTATAGTTTTGTGTTTCTGCTTACCAAACTCAG